GTAAATGAAAATGCTTCTTCGAGTAAATTCACATTACTCATGTACCGATCAAAAGCTTCATTTTCTACTTCAATGTTTCTGTCCCTGTACTCTTTAAGCTTTGTAAACCGCCACTCGTTTAAAGCTTGAGCATCCTATAGAATATAGACAGAACAATAACTGAGAAGAGGAAAACAACTAAATGGATTTTTTTCATAGAGTACTAAAGTCAATGAAATACGTCTTAACTAGTATACCTTTATCGTCAAAGGTTTTCTCTGGCGGGAAGAAGCATTCAGGTTATTAAACTGAGCAAAGTTGCTAGAAAGTTGGCGGATGGACGAAACTCTAGTTGTACTCCTGAAGCAGTTTCCAATAGAAGAAAACGTCAACATAAAGAGCCATATATTAGTTCCACCAATATACCATCTCAGTATCAACTATATGCAATAAACAAGAAAGCTGACAAATGTCCTAACAAAGTAAGCAAACACCGGTTTATCATCTAAGATTCATTTGCCCATGGAAGCACAAAAAGAAAATAAGGAAACTGGTTTGTATATATGTACCCGGGAGTGCCCTCTGATGCTTTCTGCTCTGATGATGGAGTACTTGGCGCCTGCGTCTTCTCACCAGAAGTTGAAGCTACTTTAAGAACTGCAGAAGCATAGACACGTAAGCCGAAACACAAAACAGTCCACAATAACATATATATTTCTCTCAGCTAATCAACAAGCACTCTCAAAGAATCAGCTTTCCATTACTATCTTCTCAAGTTCCAGGTTCTCTATATGAAACCTATAGAAGTTAGGCACACTATACTCTAAACTTACCAAGTGAAAGAAACAATGACAAGAACTCCCCTATCAAAGTTATCAACACTAAACTCTAAAATCTGATTTCATAAGCTAATTATTGTCGGGGAAACCATACCGTGAATCGGGCAAGGGTTCTCTGCTCTTGAACAACAACCCTTACAAGAATAAAATGGACACCTGCATTGAACACATCCAAGCAATAACATCAATAAACCAAAATCACTCAGAATTATCTAAAGAAACTGGTCTTTCGATACTAAAGCTCAAAACTTTAAACAATCTCAACACTTTTTAAACAGATCAATCACCAAATCATGAATAAAAAACCAAACCCACAAACTTATAAACCCTAAATCAAAACGAAACCGTAGTATACAAGACAAATTCGATTCCTTTCATATCAAAAAACCAAGAACCATCCTTAAATCTAAATCCCTAGACGAAAACAATGCGTAGAAGCAAAACCTGGAGCGAGCAACGTTGCCACATTGAATACACTTAGGCTTATTGAGACCACGGAGAGTCTTAGGAGGCGTGACGACGGAGGAAAGACCATTGTTACTCAGAGACGGTGACGACGGCATCTTTCTTCTTCACCGGAGATAAAAAGAAACGGTACTTTTAACGGTCTAAATTAAAACCGTTATTGACGAAAGAGAAAGCTAACGACCAAAGAGTAACAAAATTTTGGAATCGAAAGGATTGGTTTTTAATTTTTTTGTCGCTCTGATTTTGCGAAGTGCTCTCTCTTCTCTTTACGCTCGATTTCGCGGCGGGTCTAGGGCTCCGGTTATTAAAATATGCCACGTGAGTCGGTTTTTATGGGCCTGGGTTTTAAAGCCCAATACAATTTCTCTTTAAATTGAACCGAACTTAACCAAATCAATGAACTTAATCTGGGATATGTTGATCAGAAATTCAGAATTATCAGATTATCCAAGTTTTTTTTTTCTTTTTCTTTTTTTCGTGTTTTTTTTTTTTTGTCAACCACACATTAATTAATAAAGAACTTCTTGATTGGTTGCCCAATTAGGAGGATAAGTGTCTACAAAAGAAACTTTATTACGGACTAAGCAATCCGCTTTAACATTACATAAACGGGGAATAAGAGAAAGCGAGAAGAAGGGGAAAGAGACACGGAGAAAACCAAACTCGTCTAGCAGATTGGAGAAAGCGGGCCATTCGTCAGGGGACTGTATCATCGAGACTAACTCCGAACAATCTGTTTCAAACGCCTGACAATCTATCCTTCTTGAAAGGATATTCTTCATAGCCCAAATTAAAGCTTCCATCTCCGAGTGAAGGGGGGAAGGACTCCTTCGTAGGCACATTGCACCGAACAAAATCGATTGATCATTTCCTTGAAAACAACACCATCCTAAGCCCATAGTTGGATCCGAAGTTTTCCAAGAGCCATCATACCGACATCTTATCGATAGAACTGGGCGTTCCAAAGTTTCCGTAATAGGACTAGTTTCGATCGGATCCACCTGAGCTTCTTCCCACATTAATTTTTCACTCAAAGCAAGATTTAAAATATCTGTGGGTTCAGATTGTAATCCCTTGAATACCTTTTTATTCCTATCTTTCCATATGAACCACAAAATCCAAGCATAACTATATGTTTTCTCTCCCCTTTCTAGAGTAGATGGAAGTCTCCAATAAAGATAATCTAGATTTGAGAATTCCGAGGTTAGAGGAAAACTACCTGATACCATAGGTATATCGGATAAGTCCCATACTTTCTTAGAATGAGTGCACTCAAATAAAGCATGATTAATTGTTTCCTCTGCCAACTCACACCTTTTACAAAGAATATCACATCGAACCCCTCGATGTGCTAATTTTGAATTAACTACTAAGGATCCCGAAGCAATTTGCCATAAGAAATGTTGTATTTTTGGAGGGGCTTTGACTTTCCAAGCTTGTGCTTGTAGAGCCTTATAATTTGGGCCCCATTCGATCGCTTCTATCATCTCTTTAGCAACCCGATAGCCTGATTTTGTATGATGCCAGATAGGCTTATCTGGCTTAGAAACTCGGCTAATAGTCAATCCTCTAATAAGCTGAATATCTACTGGATCCATATATTCTTGTAAAATGGGAAGGTGCCATTCTTTAGTAAACGGATTAATTAAATGGTTAACCATCAAACTTGGAAGTAATAAATTTCCTCTCCCATTTGCAGGCCTCGTGTTAACATCAGGAATCCAAGGATCTCGCCATACCGATATATTGTAACCTGAACCTAATGACCATCTAGCTCCCACTTCAACAAATCTTTTAGTTGAAAAAATACTCTTCCATCCAAATGATGGAGAATTTGGTTTTTTTTGCCTGTAAAAGATGAATATTCCTGAAATATCTGCCTTTTAGCACTCGAGCAACTAAAGAATTCGGATATTGAATTAAACGCCAGTACTGTTTAGCCAACATGGCATCATTAAAAATGTCTAGGGAATTAAAACCTAAGCCTCCATCTTCTTTATCCTTACACATTTTCTCCCATGCTATCAAATGAATCCCACGATCTCGCCCATTGGAACTCCACCAATAATTAGAAATAGCACTTGTTAACTTAGAAGTTAAATCTTGAGGGAGTTTAAAACAAGACATAACATAGGTTGGGAGTGCCAAAGCCACTGATTTGATCATTGTCTCTTTCCCACCTTTCGACAAAAATTTTGCTGACCAGCCATTAATCCGTTCATTAAGTCTTTCCCGGACATAATTAAAGATTTTACTTTTTGAGCCTCCTAAGCTCTCTGGTATACCCAAATATGTACCCATTCCACCTTCCTTAGTTATTCCAAGGATGTTTTTAAGTTGATCTCTTTTTTGGTTTGCTACGCGCTTACCAAACATAACCGATGATTTACTGAGATTTATCTCTTGTCCTGAAGCTTTACCATAATTCCCAATAATATCCATCACCGTTTTGCATTGCTCTGAAACCGCTTTACAGAAAAAGAGACTATCATCCGCAAAGAGTAGATGTGAAATTGCTGGGCTTCTTTTCGCTATCTTAATTCCGGTCAGCTTTTTTCTTTTTCCGCCTTGTTAATATTTGCAATCAGTACCTCCGTACATAAAATAAACAAATAAGGCGATAAAGGATCACCTTGCCGTAAACCTCTGCTAGGAATGATATTTCCTCTAGGTTCCCCATTCAATAAAACCTGGTACGAGACCGAGCTAACACTCCACATGATCCAAGAAACCCAATTAGAGTTAAATCCCAGCTGAGTCAAAACCGCCTCTAAAAAGTCCCATTCTATCCTATCATACGCTTTGCTCATATCTGTTTTAATTGCCAAAAAATCTGTTCTACACATTCTATTAGTCCGTAAGCCATGAAACATTTCCTGAGCTAGTAAGATGTTATCTGTTATAAGTCTCCCTGAAACGAAAGCCGATTGTGTTTCAGAAACTAGCCGAGATAAAATGTGTTTAAGCCTGAAGCAAAGAATTTTTGAAATTATCTTGTAGCTCACATTGCAGAGACTTATTGGCCTAAACTTTGCCATCCTCTGTGGCCTTTCCGTCTTTGGAATTAGACAAATATTTGTTTCATTTATTCCCTTATCGAAAACTCCCGTCCGGAAAAAATCTCTGACCAAACCTACCAAATCTTCCTTTAAAGAATGCCAAAACCTTTGATAAAATAATGCTGTCATACCATCTGGACCTGGAGTCTTTTCTGGATGCATAGAAAATAAAGCTTTCCTAACTTCTGTTTCGGTTACCTCCTTGGTTAGTTCCATGTTCATACTTTCCGTAATTATTGAAGGCACTTCATTAACCATCTCAGCAATTCCATTCGTATTGGAGACCTTAAAAAGTTCTTTAAAATAATTGGTTGCTATCTCCTCCATCCCTCTTTCTGATTCCTCCCAAACGTCATTAGGTCCATATAGACCTGAAATCTTATTTCTTGCCCTTCGTTTTGTTGTAGATGCATGAAAGTATTTGGTATTTTTATCCCCCACTTTTAACCAAATATTTCTGCTCTTCTGTTTCCAATAAATTTCCTCCTCATGATAAGCTTCCTTTAATTTATTTTCGATTCTTTTTATTTCCTCCTGTGGAATCAAATCATCATTCTTTGCTTCTTCTAAGGCCATCTTAAGCGAAGAAATATTGGCCTGACCGGTGGGAATATTATTTTTCCTCCACCATGATATGGAATTCCTACAATTCTTTTTTTCGTGTTCTTAACATAGTAAGAAGTTCATAAATCTTGAACCCACAATAATTTCAATACAAGCCCGCAAATCCATGTTTCCTAGCCCAAGTAATTAGGTTAGACCTAGCAAATGGATTCATATATATATAGACATGTTATGAACAATAACATGAATCAAAGTAATTTAGGGTTTTGACAAAAAAAAAAAAAAGTAATTTAGGGTTGCCGTTTGAAAAAAAAAAACTCTTTTTCTTTATCATCTCTTCTTCATATAGCTTCAAAAAAAATGAGAAATCATTCTACCTATTGACTTGTACCTTAAAGCTTTGATCTGGTGCTACAATTTGGTATCTTTAAGGTACAAGTCAATTTGGCAGAAGAAAAAAAATGTGCTTAGGGTTTACCATCTTGAATTTGGTGCATTCAACCTCATAATGTTTTGGTTAAAATGCCACTCTTTTTTTGTAAATTTCAATTGATATCGTATTCATCTTATTGATCTCCAATTTATTTATAGTTATTTGATAATATTGCATAGTTATATGATTCTATTGCTTAAACTCGGCTGATAATCAATATATTTAGTCAGGTTTGGATGGACTAGCGTATATCCAGAAATAATCTGGATTAACAGAAGAAAAAGGATTTTATAGACATGATTTGGTTAATAGTTATTTGATTTATCATTGATTTTACTAGTATGGATAGTCTACACAACGACCAATATATAGTTATCCCACTCCTGAAGGTAACTTGTAATTCTGATTTCTAGCTAAATCTTATGGTAATAATTAATAATTAATGTCATCATTTTACAAGCTTGTTTTTGGTTCTTCTCAGACGAAGTGGACCTAGACGAATGTGACAAACTGACAATAAGGTGGGACTTTATGAATGAATATAAGTCGTGATAGTTACACGGCTAATGTCACAATCTTCAACTATTTGAAGAAGCAAGAAGACATCGAAGGGCTTCCTGCGTCGACTTTAGAAAAGTTGGATAAAGTTTCGAGGTCGTTTGTTTGGGGAACTACACAGGAGAGAAAGAAAATATACTTGATGGCTTGGAAACGAGTGTGTAAGCCAAAGGCTGCGGGTGGCTTAAGCTGAGAATGGCCAAAGACATGAATAGAGCTCTCTTATCAAAGGTGGGATGGAGAATATTACGGGATAAGGAAAGCTTATGGGCCGTGTGTTGAGAAGTAAATATAAGATTAGAGAAGTTCATGATGTCGCATGGTTAAAGCCAAAGTGTAACTGGTCTTCTACTTGGAGGAGCATCGGGGTCGGACTACCGGAAGTGGTTTCCAAGGGATACGGGTGGGTGCCTGGGGATGGTAAACGTATTCGGTTTTGGAAAGATAAATGGTTACTTGAGAAACCACTCTTGGATTGGGCATCAGAGCTGCTTCCCGAGGAGGAGAGTGAGAGGCGCGCGGAGGAGTATTGGACGGAAGGCTTAGGATGGAATATGGAAAGGATCGTAGAGTTTATTTCCTGAGCATATAAGGCAGAGATTGTATGCAGTAGTGTTGAAAGGAGTCCCGGGTTTAGAGGATAAATTGACATGGAAAGGAACAGAGAATGGGAAGTTTACAGTCCGCTCTGCGTACTCAATTTTGAAGGAAGATAGAACAGAGGGATCTTCCGTCGCACGGCTGTTTGAAAGGATATGGCGCGTGGTGGCTCCGGAGCGGGTTAGGGTATTCTTGTGGTTGGTGGGAAATCAAGTAATACTAACTAACGTGGAGAGGGAAAGACGGCATATGTGTGATTCTGCGATCTGTCCCGTGTGTAGTGGTGCTTCGGAATCAATCCTACATGTGCTAAGGGATTGCCCTGCCATGGTGGGAATTTGGCAGCGGTTGGTACTTCAGCGAGAGAGACAACAGTTTTTTGCGAAATCACTGCTTGAATGGGTGTTCTCGAATTTGACAGCTAAACCGGAACAGGGGGATGTGGACTGGCCTACGCTTTTTGCGATGGCGATATGGTGGGCCTGGAAATGGCGGTGTGGAGATGTATTTGGAGAGAGAGGTTTGTGTCGTGATAGACTGCGGTTGCTAAAAAACATGGTCGCAGAGGTGACGAAGGCTCACATGTCACTTACGGCGGGAAACCAAGTTAGAGATCGGGTGGAGGAGCAGATCTTATGGAAGAAACCGGGTGAGGGTTGGATCACAATCAACACTGACGGGGCGTCCCGTGGGAACCCGGGGCCGGCGACTGCAGCTGGAGCTTTGCGGGAAATTGATGGGTCTTGGTTAGGCGGCTTTGCTTTTAATATTGGGATTTGTACGGCTCCTGTGGCAGAATTATGGGGAGTATACTACGGGTTGGTCATAGCATGGGAAGGAGGGTTTAGACGAGTGATTTTGGAGGTGGACTCGGTTTTGGTGGTGGGTTTTTTGCAGTCAGAGGTTGAGGATTCTCATCCACTGGCGTTCCTGGTACGACTGTGCCATGGCTTTATCTCAAGAGACTGGTTAGTCCAGGTTACGCATGTGTATAGGGAGGCTAATCGGTTAGCAGACGGATTAGCAAACTATGCTTTCTCTTTACCGTTGGGTTTTCAGCATTTAGATGTTTGTCTGGAAGCTGTTGTTCCGGTTTTGTTAGACGATGTTAATGGGGTCACGCGCCCAAGTTTTGTTCGTGTGTAATTTGCTTCAGTTTTTTTTAATAAATCATAGGCCTCCTATCCCATACCAAAAAAAGAAGACATCGAAGGGCTATGGGAATTAGGGTGGATATGGTACGAAGACGAAATTCTATTGAGCACTGTGGGTGCTAAAGTTTCAAAACAAAGTAATGTTTTGAAATTTGTAGACTGCTGCATGCATAAGGTGACTTTTGTGGCCTTACCCCAACATGGTAAAAACTCTTCTTCATTCCAAATTACTGTTGGCCAAGTTGGCATAGAATTTCATCCTCCGCCACAAGACTTGAAGTTGACCACACACTGACACAAGGATTGGAATACGTATGTGATAATTCGTTGACGGAAGTAATGAATACTCCGGGTTATCTAAGTAAGTTCATTTATTTGTTGGCACATCCTATAACCTATGTCTTACATAAGCTTTTACTATGTTCTTTTTATTTTGTAGATACGTGGATGACGACGTGCAATCTCTACGACCTTAAAATGTTCCACGAGATTCATAACAAAGAAGATCTATGAGATTTTGGGTGTCTTATTTTTATTTTATTTTTTATCTGTTGCCGTTTTTGTGCTTTCTTCTCTTAATGTTTTTAAAAATTATTGTTATGTACTTGTTTTTATTCAACCAGATTCATGACAAATTAAAGAAGAGATATGAAGTTGTGGTGTTCTTTATTTTAGGCGGTAAGTTTTTGGTTTTTTCATATTTTTTATATCCAAAAAGTGTCTTCTTATTTGATTTATCTACACAACTATGCATAATATGCAGCGACAACTTAGAGACTCTAAGTTCTACGGACTCTATGTAGTAACCCGGTCTCGAGCATAAAATTTGTCCGGACGGATCGCATCCTGGAACAAGTATCGGAATCGAGTAAAAGTGAAAGTCTCTTATGTTCGAAGAACTTGGACATAAGTTAGGACCTTTTAACGAGGAAAGGTTAATATCTCTCGAAGAGAGGAGTTCTGATAGAAAGGAACTCGTGTTGAATCGTCTGGTGAGCGATTCACCGTGTGTGATGAAGTGAGGATTTAAAGGATCTTATAAGGTCTCGGGAAAAAGACTTATAATCGAAAATTCTAAGTAAAATCCTTTTACTTGGCTAAGTTAGTTTTGGGTCATGTTCGGACATCGTGGAACCGGAATGCTCAGTGACTATGCAGTGTGGGCGCACCATGGCTAAGAACGGCTTAGCATGTGGCATAGATGATTCTTGGGATGGTCGAATCTAGAGAAAGATTTGAAGGCATAAATTCCGAGAATCAAGGAAAATGCGTTAGAAACGTAATCATTTTTCGGAGAGAGAAACTCCACCTTTTTGACGAAACCGAGGCAATGATTATATTTCTGGTCCAATCAAGAGAAAAATATTGCCTATAGTATAAGTTACCTTCTTTGGGCGAAATCGAGGCAATGATTGCGGTTCTGAGCCAATCGTTGAGGAAGATTATAACCAAAGGAGCAAGTTACCTCTTTTGGACAAAACGAGGTAATGATGAGCTTGGGAAGCACGATTATCGAACCAATCGTGGGGAAGGAGTGTTGCCATTAGTTGGGCAACACGAACATCGAACCAATCGTGGAAAAAGGAGTGTTGCCATGAGTTGGGCAACACGAACTTTGACCCAACCACAAGGAAGCGTGTTCCATAGGGTTGGGCAACGCAAACTCCAAGCCAATCGGTGGAAGATTGCTCTTGTGGGTTTGAGTCACCCAAGACGCGACATGTATCCGTCATGCGTCAAGTCCCATCCTCTATAAATAGTGCCAAGGCTTTGGAGCTTAAGTCATTCACCCAAAAATACTAGAGAGAAATCGTGAGAGAGCTCTCTGAAATCTCCAGTGAAGTGACGGCCGCTCCAGAAGCTAACGGTAGAGGTGGACGACGGAGTTCTTGACAAAGTATCAAACCAAAAGTTCCCGAATCAGAGTTGTTATTCCGCTAAGACATCATAATCATCCCATCCGCTTAATCACAGTGAGTTCCGAAGCATGTGAGGTGGCACATGATTTATTTTGTGTGCTTGCTTGTTGATTGTGTGCTTGTTGTTGTTGTTGTTGATTTATCGTAGAATTGATAAAGATTATAATTCATGTCATGTATGCTTGATGCTTTAAGTACGCTTTGTCGTAGCTTAGTTGCATGCATATAGAGTTTGTGGTGTTCGAATGCGCTTCCCTGTTTTTATTAGACTCGGAGAGACTGGGTCGCTCCCAAAGGGACGAGTGGTTGCCTGACGAGGTAACGGGGATTGCCCGTCGTGGAAGGCCCATGTGGTACATCGCTTGTAGACTTGGTGGCTACCAGCGGATTGTTCACTTGATTCGATGGGAAGGATCGTTCACATGGCCATAGGATTTTTGTTGTTGTTGTTATCATTTACCCGTGCATTCATCATACTGCATAATCGTTACATTTGATTTACTTGTTGATTATCGCATGCTATTGATTGCTTGTTGCTTGACTAACGTTTATTGTTTTGGGATGGGTTGTTTAGCTTCCGAAGTTAGGCGCCGAACTCATTGAGTACTTGTATTCATGATTCCACCATTTTAGTTGCAGGAAACCTTAGGGGGAAAAGCCGTAGAGGGTTGTTGGGACAATAGGTTCTTGGTGTAGATTGTTGAGTAGAAATGCAAAGGCTACTATTGTGTATTATGTATTGTGAAATGGGATCCCTGGAAACCTTATATGATTGTTTGTGCGGTTTGTATCATATTATACTAAGTATAAAAAGGTTTTCTCAAAATGGGGCTGGTTGGATGATATAAGGTTCTGTCCGAACGACATAACTCCCTTTCCCGGTAAAAGGTTGGCAAGCTGGATATCGGGATTAGGAGGGACGGTACTAAGCGGGGGCAGGTCAGGGGGAGAGCTTGGTGCTTAAACCTTGATACGCTCTTGCAAAGTACTTGTCACCTGTACGATTCTAGCCGAGCTATTTCTAGTACGGTTCAGGGTCGCTACAGTTTTAGGTGGTATCAGAGCATGGTTACAGATGCTTGGGAACCATCCCGCTTTTCAAACCTTGGAAGTGTTCCGGTCTCGGATTTTGTGGTACTTTCTGACGATTCTATAGAGGAATTTTTGGACGAGTTTGAGGAGCCTGGAGAGCAGATGGCGACTGGTTTTCTTTTCAGAGATAGCGATATTGATGAGCCGATGTGGAAAGGCCCTGATGGAGTTCTGTACGAGTTCAACTCGGATGATTCGTGGTAGCCAGGAGTTCACACGAATCCGTACTATTATCCTCCGACACCGGATAGCTTGTCGACGATGGATTCGTTCAGCTCAATGTCCTTGGGGACAGACTTGGGTATTTCTGATGCACCTTCGGAAGATAATGCCTCGCGCGATTCTGACTGCTTGGTGTTTTTGCCGACGGAGTATGGGATTCCAAGGCAAGCTTTGGCTTACAACATGGTGCCACCGAGTGAAGTGTTCGCTACACCACCTGGTCCACCGTCTCTGGATTTTGTTGAGCTATCTTCAGACGATGAGTTAGCTGATGCTAAAGAATCGGGAATTCCTAACTTCGTGAAGGCTGCTTCGCTTAGGATGTCTACTCCGCCAAGAAAGTTCACGACCCGAACTTGGTATCCTGGTTATTATGGCGAAGAAGGTGTTGAGTCGTCCCATGCGAATCTTGAGAACCTTGTTGGTGATCAAGAAGTGCCAGACGTAACGGCTAATTGCGAAACTTTGTTCGCTACTCCTCCGTGTGTTGAAGAACTTGGAGTGTTGTTTCCTCCGAACGAAACGCTTCACGAGCCAACTCTTGGTTTGAGTTCCTTGGATGCTATGATCCAGAATATGATTGATGCGGGTACCCTTGGTGTTGAACCGATCCGACCACCCGAAGGTATGCCCGTTTGGAATGAGAGGATAAGGAGATCCGCGAATGGAACCATCATGACTGTGATGGAGCGTGAGGATGGATGTAGGTCTGAACCTTATAGTGTGACGCCGTTTTGTTTTACTTGCGGCCAAGATGCTCATTATCCGAG